ATTTTTAAAAAAAGTGGACAAAACAGCTTACCTTCCTCAAAAGATTAGCATTGTTTACTTCTTCTAAATTTGGACAAACCAGTAAACTGCAACAATGTGTTTTGTTAGATAAATAAATATGTTACTACTCCACATAACTTTCAGAACCAAAGTTAACATAGTAACCAATAGGTGTAGAGTTGACAATTAATTTTAGCTTAGTTTTACTTTGTATTTAAAGATATAGAAATGTTATATTTGCTATATAATTTTTTCAAGTCTAGTATGGGTTATAATAGTGCAATTTTTCTTTATTATGTTTTTATCTTTTTTGTACTACTTGATAGTGGCACTTTTGTTAGCCAGTTTTGGGCTTTGCTCTTTGTTTTTCTTTTTTTACAATTCATTGGTCCTCTATTATTATTCTTTTATAACTTCCCCTTTTGTATTATTTGTTTTTTTTTCTATTACTCATTTTCTTTGTAATATTTGTTCTGTATATTTAGTACAGAACTTTTTTCTCTTTTGATCTCAGTAGAGAAATAAATTTGAGAAGTTTAAGCTTGAGATAGGCTAACAAGATCTTCCAATTTATCTTGATATTGGTGTGATGAGTCATAGCTAGGCATGTATTATGCAGCTGGGTGATGTTGAACTTGCAATCTTAGATATATGATCTAGTATTTAGAAAGATTATTCGATCTAATTATTATAATAAATCTGTAATAAAGTTTTGACAAGGCTGTCAAAGTTTAAAAAAAAAAAATAATAAAATAACCAATTATATACCAAATAAGCTAATTTTAACTTAAATATATTTTTGTATTACAAATCTAAGCTACTAAATACTGTATTAATTTATTTAAAGAAACTTAATAATCTAGATATTGCTATAATAGTATGTAATATTGTAAATTAGTACTATTTTTATTTATTAAAAAATCTTTTGCACCAAAATAAAAAATTTTGAACCAATTTTATTAAGCATTTTAAAGCTTATAAAGAAACAATTTTGTTTATTTTTTACAAGCTCTAATACTGTGAATACATATAATATTAATTATATAATATTTTTTTAAATAAAATAATATTAGAAATTATAATACTTTTTATTAAATTAATTTTTTTTAAATATTTTTGCTATTAATTTAATATTATAAATATCAAACTTATACTAGTTATTTTTATAAAACTATTCTAATATCGAATTTTTTTATTTTTAGTTAGTAATAATTATCTATCAAGAGCAAGTATTAAAAATTTGCATTTTTCTAATTTTTTATCAACCTTTAAATTAATTCATGCAGTTTCTTGCTTCAATAATCTTTTAGATAGTGTTGTATAGCTAAGTGATGTATATGCTAATTACGATGTTTGAATAAGTCAATTATAAATAGATTGCTAATAATGTCAAATGATAAATTTGTCATATCCAAAACTCTTAAAATGGCTTCGTCAATTTCATTTATTTGAAAGTGACTCTTGCTAATATTCTTTTATATCTTTAGAAAAATCAGAACAAATGTTTGCAAGATGTGCTTACATTTCTGCAAGACGTCCATAGCTCCAATACTTCGGACAATAATGGCAAGTCGCACTATGGTCATTAGTATCATTACTTGTTATATAATAATTCCAAATTTTTCTCTTGGACGACCTGCACTTTTTCGTTTTAGTGGTCTATTTTGTTTTTCTAAATACGTATCACTTTGAAATAGTTGGTTTGACATGTTTGAAGATAAATTTGTAGAAGCTGGTTCATCGATTATATTAATCAAAAGAGATTTCAATATAATAAAATTATTTTGCTTTTTATTATACATGATAGTGATAGCTTAATGATCGTGAGATTTATCAATGACAAAAAATTATTGTTGAATTACTGTAGTTTTCTGCAAATACTGTAATTTTTATAAATATTGTAATTTTTGTATTAATATTTTTTCGTTAAATTAAATTATTTTAGCATTTAATTTAATTAAGTTTGCAACGCTAGTATCAACCAATTTATTATTTTGTTCGCAAAATTCTGTGCGGGTTTTGCCACTGCAATGCTCTGGATGCTCTACAAAATAAAAAGCAAAATCAAAATTTATAAAGCATCGAGAGGTTGTTTTTGTTAGTGGTGATCTGGTTTAGAATAATAATTGTGAACTCTAGGTCTACTTAAATCCATGCTCACATGACACATGCGCTATAATGCAAATTTCTAATCGAAATAAAGCTTGAAAGTAATATTAATACGCATTTTCTATATTTTATAAATTTATGTTAAATATTTTTAGATCCAGGGTTGGCAATGGAGCTCAATGGAACCGCGAATGGAGCAATGGAACTCTGAATGGAGCCAATGGATATCATATAGCTTTTTGAGCACCATTCACATAACGATAACCATTTAACTCATTGCCAGACCCTAAATTGTATAATTCTGGTCAGGGTAAATTATGTGATATTACCGTAAATTATGTGACCCTAGCTGACTATTTTTAGCATTCCTAAATCTGGCCAATAAATTATCAACACGAATTGAATGATTTCTACAAAACCTTTTTCGAACAATTTTCTTTTTTTCGAAAATATTTAAATACATTTCAAATATTTCCAATTATTTCTTTAAATATTCGCAAATATTCACAAATAAATCTCAACCATTCAACTATTTTATTCAACAATTTTTTAAACAAAATGACGCTTGTAAATGTTTTATTCTGTTTTATCGGAATATATTCATGTTTTCTTACATGGGGAATTTTACAAGAACGAGTTTCAACCACACCATATGGAGATAAAGAAACAAAGCAACAAAAATTCAAATATTTCATATTTCTTAATATGATCCAATCATTTATGGCATCGATCACAGCATTCATTTATATAAAAATTTCCAAAGAAAATTTTGAAATAATTAATAATTCTTTATTAAAAAAATTTTTACAAATAGCATTACTTGGAGCTATAGCACCAACATTTGGATATGAAAGTTTAAAACATATTGATTATCCAACTTTAACACTTGGAAAAACATGTAAATTAGTACCGGTAATGCTTATGAGTATAATTCTTTATAGAAGAAAATTTTCATTTTATCAATATATAGTAGTAATGTTAGTTACACTTGGAGTATCAAGTTTTATGCTACTTCAACCAACATCGGAAAAAAAGAAAGCAGTTGAACCTAGTTCATTATATGGTACAATATTACTTTCAATTAATTTACTTATTGATGGAGTCGTTTGTTCTACACAAGATCAAATATTTTCAAAATATAAAATTAAAGGTCAACATATGATGTTTTTTATGAATTTATTTAGTGGAATTTTAATGGCTTGTTGGTTGATAAATCCTTGGAATCAAGAACTTTTTAATGCAATAACATTTTGTAAAAATTATCCTAATATTATTAAGGATATTTTATTATTTTCTTTATGTGGAGCTTTAGGTCAATGTTTTATATTTTTTACTTTAGATAATTTTGGTTCATTATTTTTAAATACTGTAACTGTTACTAGAAAATTTTTTACCGTATTATTATCAGTATTTATATTTGATCATAAATTAAATATTGGACAATGGTTATCAGTTGGATTGGTATTTTTCGGAATTGGATTAGAAGTATACGCGAAACAAAAAGGAGGTAAAAAAGTATCAGAGAAATATGATAAATCAATTCAAGAAGAAAATCGAGAATTGGAAAAATTAATAGAAGAGATAACTAAAAGAAAACAAGTTAATGGAGTTATCGATAATATCACGAAGGATAAAACTTTGTGATAGACATAGACATGAAGAATAAGACATGGTGAATAGACATGAAGAATAAGACTTTGTGATAGACATGGTGAATAGACATGAAAGATAATTAATATATATATATATATATAATTATAATAATTGGTATAGTTAGATATTAATATAGATATTAAAATTCTTTAATAGTTAGTTTATAATGATTTTTTTTTTTTAAATAATTGTAATAAACTTACTGATTAATTCTTCTTTATTTTTCTTTACTACTTGTGATGTATTAATTTGATAATTTCGCGATAACTTCATCAACATTTCTAAAAATCCAATTTCCAAATGCCATAGACCTTGGCCAGCTACATGTTACAGGTTTTGATAGAACATGCATATGAACATGTAAAACTGAATTGAATGGTGGCGAACCGAATCCCATCCTGTAAATAAAAAAATTTGGTTATTTTAAAGCAAAGTCTCTTCGGGAAATAGAAGATCCATTACGGTAACCTACAAATATTTATCAGGGGTAATCGGTGATTCGTCGTTACCAATTTTTTCGGAAATTAAACGAAACCCTATCTCTTTCATCTTTTTTACTTTATTCATTCAAATTCATTCAAATTCATTTAAATTTATTTTAATAGGATTTGATATTGTGAAAAAAAAAATTAGTATACGTCTGCAATCTATTCTCGATTTTTTTTAAATTCAATAAATTCACTGGTTTCTATTATATAACAATATAGTTTATTCAATATAATTTATATAATATACAAACCTAACTCCACATCTTCTTTTGTAAATCCATTAATATTTTTAATATGACGTTTCGGGATTACTAGAATATGATGATTTGCCGCTGGGTATTTGTCATTAAATGCTACAATTTGTCCGTCCTTTTTTTAAATAATACGTACTAGGTTATTATTATTATTATTGATCAAATTCATCAGAAACAAAAAAAAATTGAATAAGGTTAAACACAATTTACATCATAAAGTAATTGCTCGCTTCCCGTTGCGATTTCACAAAATATACAAGACATATTTCGATTTGATATTTCTCACCGCCAAGACTGCAAGAACATAACGATAAGGTTTTCATGACGATGATCTTTAATGATGTGAACGTATTACAGGTTGGAACCGGTTTATTCAATTCAACTATTAACTCAGTTTTAATATTAATAGCGATAGTAAATCGGTTTTTACCTCTAGTACGTATCGGTAATCATTCTAGCTATTCTTATTACTACATTAGTGAGTTTAGTAAAATCATAGTTTATTAATATAATTAGAGTAATTAATACGTACAACGAATGTATCTAAGGCTAATTTATAGCGATAGAGTGTTATCATATTAACTTTTTATGGTTACATCCGAACATACAGACCTCCTCACGTGATATTATTGACAAACCGGAATTCATCAGAAGAGAGATTACTGCGCATCGAAAGCTTCAAATAATTTTTATTGAAATTAATTATCTAACTACAGATCTATCAAATCACCTACAAAACTTCTAGCATACAGGCAAGTATATATTTTGTTGCTTTAAATAACCAGTTTTTTTTTTATTAAAAAAACTACAACTTTTAAATTAAATTAATATATATATATATATATGTAATTTTTACAAATTTATTATAAATTAGAGTATACGTATCATTCTTATTTGACCAATAAGTACAACAATCAAAAAGAAATACCTGCTATTAAAATCAAATTTATTTTATAGCAATCTCTTTTCCACAAAACTTTAAAAATTTATGGTGCGGATGTTATAAGCTGATAAAAATAAATTAAATTAATATGAACGCACATAACGATTTAAATAGAGAATTAGCTTACTCTTATTCCGTGCATTTTTTTAATATCATCCTCCAATAATTCGTTTATCATTCGATGTTGTTTTATTATTGGTAAGCCATTAAACTGCAAAGAAGAAATTTCTATTGCATACATTGAACCACAACCGCCTATTAAACTTTGTTAGCAAAAAAATATATTCCATTATAAATTCAAATAAAGAGATATTTATACCAGAGATGTCCTGAACATGTAATTTCGTAGGCTGAAATTTTTTAGATAACTTTTCATAAAGATATTTTTCACCTTCTGTTAAAGTTTCACTGTTATTATTATTGTCAGAGCGTAGTGGCTGGCTAAGGTAAGGTAGGTGTTGCTTCTTGTTGTTTTTGCTTGGGGCACTACTTGTAGGTTGCTTTTTGTTATATAGAACTTGGAGATCCTTAGGACCGC